TTTTTGATTGACTTGTATACGCTTTTTGAGGTGGAATGTTCTAGCTATTTGCTTTTAACATTTTCTTGGCCCTTTTTTATGATTAAAAGTAAGTTTTGTTGTCTTAATTAAACTTCTTGCTTCTCTATTGTACATGCGGACATTATGATTCAGAAAGATCCGTGCTTCTCAAAAAGAGTTTTTGGGACTAAATAATCCTCTTAATTGGATGCTATTGATTTTCCAATTAATTGAGGACTATGAGCAATAGAGGATGATTTCTTTTATATTCATTCTTGTGATAGTTAATTTTGTTATTTCTTACTAGCACTCTAAATAACTTTTTGACCATGTATAGCACTGTAATATTTTTTTTGGATATCTTATGCTGAAAATTTGAATTTTTCGTATGTTTCTAAACCTTAACGTCTATCTATTGTTTTTCTTTTTTCTTTTGAGATTTTAATTCACCTTTTTTTTATGCTCATCCGTATGTATTATGAAAGCTTTACTTATCAGAGTTTCACTACTGCATCCCACGATATCAAAAAGGAAAATTTCAATTTTGATTTTGAAGTTACATTTTTTGTGGTCATAGACTCATAATCAATCAGCTCTTGAGTATTCACTTTCCAGTAAACCACTGTTATTTCATTTATAACATAAAAAAAAACTCTCTGCATTTTGTTCTTTTCATCTTCTTCATCAATTTTCATGAATATCAAGCGAAACCTATAAAATATTTTGTTGAGATTTGGAATAGACCAGCTTACTTTCATTGATAGGAGAAATGATATTTAAACCCAATTATAATAGGCATAATAATGAAAAGCAATAAAAAGAAAATAAAATAACTAGAAAAGAAAATAAAACAAAATAAAGTAAAAAAGGAAATACATAATCAAGAAATAAAATCAAATAATAAGTAATAATGACATAGATTGTTATAATCTAATACTCCCACTCCCCCTCAAGTTGAAGCATAGATGTCAGTCATGTTCAACTTGGATTTGAAGTCATCGAACAAAGAGTGAGACATGTTTTTGGTGAGGATGTCCGCTAGTTGATCACTGGAGAGCACATATGAAACACAAATCTCCTCGGACTCAAATTTTTTCTTAATGAAGTGTCTGTCAATCTCGACATGTTTGGTACGATCATGCTGAACTGGGTTGTGTGCAATGCTGAGCATACAAAGTTCACGAGGCAGAGGTTGGCATACAGAGTTCAAGGAGCATATTGCATAACCAGAGAGTTTCACAGATTCCTAGGGACATAGATTCGAATTCAGCTTCAACACTGCTTCGGGCGACTACCGACTGATTTTTGCTTTTCCACGTGACAAGATTGCCCCATACAAATGAGAAATACCCTGAGATGGATCGTCGATCATGAACTGATCGGGCCCAATCAACATTTGTATATACAACAATAGATCGAGATATGTGGCGGGAAAAGAACAAACTGAGCCTGGTGTACCTTTGAAGTAGTGGAGAATTCGGTGGATAGTTTGGAGGTGGTGCTTGTAGGGTCATGCATGAATTAGCTCACTATTCTAACTGTGTGGAATATGTATGGGCGAGTATGAGACAGATAGATGAGTTTTCCCACGAGACATTGGTAATGAGTTTTGTTAACATGTATAGCATTGTGAATGATAGATAATTTTAAGTTGGAATCCATTGGAGCAAAAACATGTTTGCACAGAAGAAAATTGTTCTCTGTCAGGTGATCAACCACATATTTGTTCTGAGACAGACAATTCCCCGAGAGGACCAGACTACTTTCATGCCTAAGAAGTGCCGGAGAGGTCGCAAATCTTTCATCTCGAAGGACGAAACAAGAATGTATTTTAAGGACTCAATTGTTGGGAGATCGTTACCAGTAACAATATCATCAATATAGATAATAAGGATAGCTACATGATCATTTGAGGTGTGCTGAAAGAAGATGTGTGATCTGATTGAGCCTGAGTAAAACTATGACCCACAACCACCTTTGTGGACAAGCTAAACCAGACCATTGGGGACTGCTAAAGGGTCTTTGTAGTCTGCACACTTGTTCAATGGAGGCAGTAGAATCAAAACCCGAAGGGAGAAACATGTATAATTCTTCTGTCAGCTCACAATTCAAGAATGCATTCTTGACATCTAGTTGGAATAAAGACCAATCCATATTCACCACAAGTGCAGCTGGACCTGAATAGTGTTCAACCTAGCCACCGAGCAAATGTCTCCTCATAGTCAACTCCTTAGGTCTGTAAGTATTTTTGGCGACAAATTTTACCTTGTTGCGTTCAAAGGATTCATCATAGTTGAATTTGGTGCTAAAAATCCATCGATTCCCAATAGCTTTTTTACCCTGAGGAAGGTCCACGATATTCCATGTATGGTTCCGCTGAAGGGCATTCATCTCATGGTTCTGCTGAAGGGCATTCATCTCCTCCATTACTGTCGTTTTCCAAGCTGAATCAACAAAAGCAACCTCAATAGTAGCAGAGATTTGATTGTTCGTTGGGCAGTAGCAAATGCTTTGTAGTTCAGCGATAAAATGTGGAAAGACATATTTTACCATAGAATAAAGGGAGCATGTCTGATTGCGTACCTTACTCGAAGAATTTAACTCATTCGGAGTAGGGGTTATGCTAAGGATGCCGCCTTGAGTGGAGTCAAGGTTTTGTAAGAAGGTAGTGGGCTTCTGAGTTGGAGCATTAGGACAGGTGCGTCAAGTGTAGACTTGGACAGTGGGAGGAGGAGATTGTGCACTCAATGGGATAGGGGACTCAGTGGTGGGAACAATGGGAGGACCATGGAAACATTGTGCAGCCTATGGGTTGGTCTTCCTTGGATGACCTAAACGACAATGTAATAACATAATATGCATTCAATGACTCGATATAGGCTGCAACTTTTGAGTATCGTGTCTTCACTCTCGCGTTGTCCTCTTGGAAGTACTAGAGTCTAGCTACCCTCTTAGAAACACCAATCATTCCTTTCAAATGATGATCTTGAAAAACACAACAATCAGACAAAAAAATTAACAACGCAGTCGATATCACTTGTCAATTTGCTGACTGGTTATAAGCTACATTGCAGTCGATGAATGTGTAAAACAAACTTCAGAGTTAGATCAGTCCTTAGTATAATCGATCATTTACCGACAATGGAGCTAAATGATCCATCGTCAATTCTGATGGTATTTTTTCCAGAGCACAGATAGTAAGTTGAGAAAGTTTGCGAGCAACCAATCATGTTATTCATGACACCTGAATCAATAATCATGGATTAGATGAGGAATAAACTGTGAGGGCTATAGGAATAGTACCTTATTGGACATGGCAAGTCGATGAACCTGCAAAGACTTGATTGGCTCCAAGAAACTTGATTAATTGCCCTATTTGATTTTTAGGGATTCTGAGGATTGTAGGATTTTCTGGGTAGAAGCTGGTTGTGTCGTGTCTGGTTCGGCCGTCGCTGTGAGTCCCTTGACAGCAAAAGATTTGGTCAAAGGTTTTTATGTCGGCTTACCGCGAAGTTTCCAACTCTTGTCTCGAGTGTGGTTGGGTTTGTGACAATAATCGCACGCGGGGTAACCGGTTTGAGGTGACATGGACGAGGGTTGAACACCATTTGAGATCAAGGTTGATGACTCAACTGAAGGAGTATAAGTGCCGAGCATGACAGGTCTCTTGCTTTCTTTCCGACGAATTTCAGTAAAAAGTAGCTCGAGCAGAAGGAAGAGGATACCAACTAAGAATACTGCCTCGTACTTTGTCAAGCTCTTTGTGGGGAATTGAAACATATTATCATTTTTACGATTTTCTTGAAGAGGGATAAGTCGGCAAAAGACTCCCAACTGTAGTCGTAGTATAGGTCGCATTCCATTCATAATGCAACTAATTCCTTATAGCATTGGGTCACGGTCCTTGAACCATGTTTTGTCTCCCGAATTTTCTTAGATACTTGATAGAGTTGGCATGAATTTTCTATATCCAAGTAGGTAGCACAGATGACCGCCTAAAGAGCACTAGCTGAAGGTAGAAACATGTATGAACGACCAATTGAAGTCTCCATTGGGTTGATCAGCCATGACCTGACCATGAAATTCTCCAATTCCCAAGCTTCATGTGCTGGGTCAGTCTTTGGAAGTTCACGAATCATACCTGTGAGATGATCAAACTTCCCACGTCCTTTGACGAACAAAGACACTGCTTGGGAGCATTGGAAGAAGTTACTGCAGTTCAACTTATGAGTTATGATTAAGAAATTCATGTTGACGTCCAGTCCTCCGGTCTGCAAGGGAGTGGAGGTTGGAGTCGATTCTCTGGTGGAGTCAGGAACGCTTTCTGAGAGCGATTCACTGAAAGAATCAGTTATAATCCCGACTGAGCCAAAGGATATGTTGTTGTGGTTATGAGCCATCAATGAATTTTGGTAGAACCACGCCAAACGGATACAACTTGTAGTAATGCATATAGCAGGACAACTGCAGGAAATCTTCCTTTAGAACAACGTCAACAAAAGAAATCAAATATTAAGTAATAATGAGATAGGCCGTTATAATCTAATTTATTTAAATTTTGGAAATTAGAATGGAAAAAATATGTCTGAAAAAAATAGGGAAAATGTTAAAGTAGCTTATGCAGATCCTTCAAATTTGGTGAGAATTAATAACAATCAGGTATTAGTCTTTATCCTTGAGCACATTAAGGGTTTCATAGTGTGTACTTTTGAGGATCTTTTCTAATATAATGTCTTCCTGTTCTAATTGCGTCAATTTCTCGGTGCTCGTTCTCCATGCTTACCCCTATTTATTTCAAAATTTATGACATTCAACTATTTTTCACCCTTTTATTCCCAATTTTCAGTCTTACAGTGTTTGTGATTTTGAAAGGTGGCATTGAAGCTTCATTGCTGTCACTTTACCAATGTTTAAAATTTTTCGAATTTTAATTTATCTCTCTCTCTCTCTCTCCACACACACACACACACACACACACACACACACACACACACACACATATATATATATATACATATATCATATTTGTATGTATACATGCACGATCCAACTCGTACATCTTTTAAAATTATAGAATCGATAATTAATATTCAAATATTTGTAAAGCATATTTCTTATGATATTGTGCATTGTCATGTGAAACTGAACGTGGCTGTTGTATCCAATCCAGCTTGCTATCTACATATTTATTACACTCAATAACATGCTTGCTTTAAAAACATTTGTTTTCGATTTACAATATTCAAATCATGCACCAACATTAATTGGCATTGTAATACTTGCAAATTGCATCAAATGTTGATTTCGAATATGTTGCATACACTGCTGAAGCCTCTTTAGAAACTGAAACTGCTTCACAACCTTCCTCGAAGTGGTCTCTTGCATAATAATTTATAGCACCCACTTTTTAAAACCTTCGTCTAAATTACAATAATCTATTTTATCCTCGGTCTTTTTTAAGAGAACATCTTTCTGTTAGTTTAGCTGGGTTATACTTGATTGGGGAAGTTATGAATAAATCTCTCTTTTGCACCTTTTTTTAATTGTGTGAGAATTGACACAATACCCTCACATTTTTCATACAAATTTTTTTTCATCAACTTTTTTTTTAACTTAGGGGGAGAGCTTTTACAACCCTTACATTCCCAAAGTCTTGGAGGAATTGACTGCCAAGGGACTTATTGAGGAAAGTAATGGTGCTCGGGTAATATTCATCGAGGGGCAGCAGATTCCTTTGATTGTTGTGAAAAGGGACGGTGGGTACAACTATGCTTCAACAGATTTAGCAGCTCTATGGTCGGTACTTTCTGTTATTTAGCGTAATACTCATTCATAGGTTCTGTCCGCTTCTATAATTTATTGAATATGATTCATTCATGTCCTACTTGAATCATCTTATGATGAACTCTTACAATATAGTAAAGGCCCATATCTTCAAATGGTGCTTCCCATAATAATCAAATCCTATGAGTAATTATTATAATTATTAATATAAAACCTAGATAATGATCGAAAATGGCTGGTTTGGTCTTATTGTTTTGTGGTATTTTCATACATAGCACACCATTCTTATGTTATGTATTTGTTAGTCTCACTCCTAAACTTTCATATTTACATACATATCACCCATATATTTAATACATAAGAATTGTCTGTTAGGCATGTAATTTTTTTTATTATTTAGTGGTATTGGTTTGTATTCAAAAGTGGTTTTGTGGCTTACTTTTTTCATCAATTATTGGATTGCTTCATCTCACTTGTTACATATTCTGAACTTTTTTTTGGTGCAATGTTTGGAGGCAAATTTACATCAATTGTATGCTTTTAACTAGGTTGTTTAAATGCTTACTACAGGTGTTTCTTAAGCCATGATAGTCAGGCCATTACATATATCTGTTACCACTGGAAACCAGAATGTTCTTATGCAAATATACAAACAGGATTCAACATTTTGAGGTTATTTTATGTGGCTTAAATCATTTGTTTTCCTGATTTAGGTACCGTCTCAACATAGAAAAAGCAGAGTGGATAATTTATGTTACAGATGTTGGTCAATCACTGCACTTTGATATGTTTTTCAGTGTAAGTATTATATCTTCTATACTTAACATTTGCTGAGATACATGAGTCTTTATCCCGGCGCATTATGCATTCATTTGTGGTATCATTAATATCAACTGTTAAATTCTTTCCACAGATTTGGGTGGTATAACTGTAAAAAAGCAAAGTTTAGGTGTTGAGTGCGCATATGAATAGGGTGGTATGCATGTAAATTCCCCTTTTTATTAATGATACAGGCAGCAAGAAGAGCTGGCTGGCTTCCAGATGTGAAGAGCAATCTCTATCCTAAAACAAATCATGTTGGTTTTGGTCTTGTTCTTGGATCGGATGGCAAGCGATTCCGCACGCGAAGTTCCGAAGTTGTTCGATTAGTAGAGCTGCTTGATGAAGCGAAAATTCGCAGTAAAACTGAACTCGTTAAACGGCTCGAGGATAATGGTATTTCAAAGTGTTTATTTATTTTTTAATTGTTTAGTTCATGCATTTAAACTTAGTAAACTAGTTGACAGTCATATACTTGTTGGAAGATTTACATACATACCACACAATTCTTATGTATTTACATATCTAACACTTAAACTTTAATTCTTACATATATACCATCTTAGCTTGAAAAGGTGTATTTCACTTTTTAAAAATTAAAATTGTTGTTTTTTTTTTTGGTGATATGAAACATTTGGGTGGTATAAATGTAAAAAAGCAAAAAATTGGTGTTAGATATGTCAATAGATAGGAATTGGATATTATCCATGTAAATGCCCCATAATTGTTTCTTCCTGAGCTTAATTTTATCTAATTATTTTGTAATTATTCTCTCGTGCTAATCAGGAAAACTCAAGGAGTGGACGGATGAAGAGCTTGAAAATACCGCTGAGGCTGTTGGCTATGGTGCTATCAAGTCAGTCACTGTGGCATGTATTTTATTATTTCTATATCATGTTATTATGTATTTCTACGGAATTCATGATCTGCACAATTCCATGTTCTTTGTTTCCTTTGGTGTTGCTCCATCAAATACACTTTTATTGATTTGTTTCATTATCTTGTCATTCATGCATTTATCCTTGGCCTCCATGGTTGTTTTGTTTTCAAGCATGTTGATGATCAATCACAGTGCTCTCTCCTTTATACTTGTAGATGATAGATCACATTTTTCAACAAGACGGGCGCATAAATGTGTCGTTTTTTTGTAGCTATTTTAATGCAAAAATAATGGTTTTTGACTTTTTGAGTTAATTTCTCAACAGATATGCAGATCTGAAAAATAACCGGTTGACTAATTACACCTTCAGTTTTGACCAAATGCTAAATGACAAGGTGTGTTCCCGGACATTCTCTCCTTTGTGAGATAAGATAGGCTTAAGCATGTTGGTACTATTTATAAATTTTTCTTTGTGCCTTTTCAAACTTTGTCCTTTGTTGGGGCTTTTTTTGGTATTTGATATGTATTTTAATGCCCCAACTTTGAGTTTGAACATGTTTCTACCTTACTTTTTGGCCATGGTAAATATTAATATTCCATTTTCAGCAACATTGATAGCATTTTTTATTATTTCCTTCAAATTAATTTTTTGTTTCTTATTTTAAAGTTTACCACACTTTGAAATCAACAGGGAAACACTGCCGTCTACTTGTTGTATGCTCATGCCCGTATCTGTTCCATCATCAGGAAATCTGGCAAAGACATTGAAGAGCTAAAGAAAGTACGACTTTGAAATTTTGGTTGAGATGTTTTCTTTTTTTATTTATTTATGCAAATAAAAAGAAGCTTTTTAAGTGTAATAATAAATTCTTCAAAACTTATTCTGTTTAATTTTCACTGTACCAGTCAGGGACGCTCGTGCTTGGTCACGCCGATGAGCGTTTTTTGGGGCTTCATCTTATACAATTTGCAGAGGTGAGCATGCTTCATTTTCTTATTCTGGTATTTATCTAGAGTATTTATTCACCTCCGCTCCGCGTCAATTTTATTTTGAAAGATTTACATACATACCACTCAATCCTTATTTGTTTACATTTTTAAAGCGTAAACTTTAATATGTACATTCATACCATCTTACCTGTGCATGAAAGGGTGTGTTTCACTTTTGAATAGTTAAAATGGCACTATTTTTTATCCAATATGAAAGATTTGGGCGGTATAAATGTAAAAAAACAAAGTGTAGGTGTTAGATATGTAAGTACATAGGAATTGGGTGGCATGTAAGTAAATTCTTCTGATTTGAGATCTTTTTTTTATGGTTACTGTACTTCAATAATGTTTTTTTTTTCATTTTCTTTCACGAAGTACAAATATATTGAGGTTTGCCGTATGATTTTCAGGTAGTTGAAGAGGCTTGCACTAATCTTCTTCCAAATGTTTTGTGCGAGTATCTCTACAATTTGTCGGAAATATTCACAAGGTTTTACACTAGCTGCCAGGTACTTTTTGTCTAATATGATATATTTTTTGGGTCCTCCATGCAAATGTTGGTATTTAGCAGCTGTATGTACTGTTTTCAAGTTATGCTAAACCATTCATTGTTTCTCCACGTGGTGTGGAATGGGCTTTCTTAGACCTATTCTGTCCCTCCAGAGCTCTCCATCTTAACATGGACCATCACATGGCATTTGGGAGAAAAAATATTACATTAGGAGCCCTGATGCAGAACTCTAATGAAATTGCGTCACATCACACGACTAACCCACTAAATAAAAAAAAAATTCTATACTAATGTATGGTCTACCTCATTAGTACACGTGGCATAATTTCATTGGAGATGTATTTTTGCATTAGGACTCCTGATGCAGAACTGCATCAAGACTCCAATGAAGTTGCGTCACGTCACATGACGGACTTAATAAGAAAAAAACATATACTTTAATGTATTATGGTCTACCTCACCCGGATACATGAGACAATTTCATTGGAGCCATGATGTAGTATTTTTTCCATTTTTGGGTGGGGTGGGGGGAGAGTATTTACATATCTAACACAAATTTTACTCTTTACATTTTTACCACCCAAGTCTTTCATATGATGATGACGGATGAGTGAAATACTGTTTTTCATGTATAGGTAACATGACATGTATGTAAAAAATATTGAAGTTTAGGTGTTAGATATGTAAATACATACAGACTGAGTGGCATGTATGTAAATATATAATTTCATTCCACTTCTTGCATCCAGATACACCTGAGATTGTTTTGTTTCTTCTTGATTGAGGCAGGTTGTTGGATCTTCAGAAGAAACTAGCAGATTGTTACTGTGCGAGGCAACAGCAGTGGTAATGAGGAAATGCTTCCATCTACTTGGGATCACACCTGTCTTCAAAATATAGAACTGCATTATTATTATTATTATTTTTTTAAATTATACCATTTGAATTAATGGCCATATATATATATTTTGTGATGTGATGTTATTTATTTGAATTTTTGTATGAATTTGATGTTTGTTTAATGCAGTTTTAAAACAATCTTGTCTGGCTCTCTTTCTTTCTGGTCATTTTTGTCCTCTGGTGCTCATGAAAAGATGTTAAAATATGTTTATCATTTCTATATATATATATATATATATGCATTTTTTCAAATGGAATGTCCAGATGCTATTATACGATCTTTCAGCCTTTTCTCATTTGCTTATTAATTTGAGTACCATCTCCTTAAGACCAATTATGCCAAAGAGGATTCGAACTTTTGACTCTAGATATGTAAGTACATAGGAATTGGGTGGCATGTATGTAAATTCTTCTGATTTGTGATGTTTTTTTTATGGTTACTGTAATTCAATAATGTTTTTTTTTCATTTTCTTTCACCAAGTACAAATATATTGAGGTTTGCTAGGTTTGCCGTATGATTTTCAGGTAGTTGAAGAGGCTTGCACTAATCTTCTTCCAAATGTTTTGTGCGAGTATCTCTACAATTTGTCGGAAATATTCACAAGGTTTTACACTAGCTGCCAGGTACTTTTTGTCTAATATGATATATTTTTTGGGTCCTCCATGCAAATGTTGGTATTTAGCAGCTGTATGTACTGTTTTCAAGTTATGCTAAACCATTCATTGTTTCTCCACGTGGTGTGGAATGGGCTTTCTTAGACCTATTCTGTCCCTCCAGAGCTCTCCATCTTAACATGGACCATCACATGGCATTTGGGAGAAAAAATATTACATTAGGAGCCCTGATGCAGAACTCTAATGAAATTGCGTCACATCACACGACTAACCCACTAAATAAATAAAAAAAAAATTCTATACTAATGTATGGTCTACCTCATTCGTACACGTGGCATAATTTCATTGGAGATGTATTTTTGCATTAGGACTCCTGATGCAGAACTGCATCAAGACTCCAATGAAGTTGCGTCACGTCACATGACGGACTTAATAAAAAAAAAACATATACTTCAATGTATGGTCTACCTCCCCCAGATACATGACACAATTTCATTGGAGCCATGATGTAGCATTTTTTCCATTTTTGGGTGGGGTGGGGGGATAGACTCTTGGAAGAAAATTTGGGGCATAAATTTGTTCTTCTTTTGCATTACTATTGCCATGCTTTTGCCTAACAGGCAATTCTCATGTATTTACATATCTAACACAAATTTTACTCTTTACATTTTTACCACCCAAGTATTTCATATGATGACGACGGATGAGTGAAATACTGTTTTTCATGTATAGGTAACATGACATGTATGTAAAAAATATTGAAGTTTAGGTGTTAGATATGTAAATACATACAGACTGAGTGGCATGTATGTAAATATATAATTTCATTCCACTTCTTGCATCCAGATACACCTGAGATTGTTTTGTTTCTTCTTGATTGAGGCAGGTTGTTGGATCTGCAGAAGAAACTAGCAGATTGTTACTGTGCGAGGCAACAGCAGTGGTAATGAGGAAATGCTTCCATCTACTTGGGATCACACCTGTCTTCAAAATATAGAACTGCATTATTATTATTATTATTTTTTTAAATTATACCATTTGAATTAATGGCCATATATATATATTTTGTGATGTGATGTTATTTATTTGAATTTTTGTATGAATTTGATGTTTGTTTAATGCAGTTTTAAAACAATCTTGTCTGGCTCTCTTTCTTTCTGGTCATTTTTGTCCTCTGGTGCTCATGAAAAGATGTTAAAATATGTTTATCATTTCTATATATATATATATATATATGCATTTTTTCAAATGGAATGTCCAGATGCTATTATACGATCTTTCAGCCTTTTCTCATTTGCTTATTAATTTGAGTACCATCTCCTTAAGACCAATTATGCCAAAGAGGATTCGAACTTTTGACTCGAGTGGTCTTATATTGTGGATGCCAACCAAAAGGTCGGGGCACACAAAACAAATTCGCTCAATTCAAGCATTTGAAGTGTAACTAAAAGCTTTAAAGATTAATTGAAATGTTAGATGAACTTTAAATTTGGAATGTTTACAGTCAAATTGAGTGGGCAGACAAGAGAAAACTAAATAACATGAAAGATCACTCAAATTTGAAATTGTCGGTTAATGTACTTAAATATATAAAGAATGATCCATAATCAAATGTATTAACACAGA